TTATGACACTGCACACTTATGAACAATAAGTGTATAAATAAATAATCATCGAGAATTATAGCCACGTTAATAACGTTTGTGAGAAACCAAACCGTTTGTAAATCCGTCAAGATTTCAGCGAGATGAGAGTATTTGTGTTCGTGCTGATCGCTCATCTTACATCAGAGCCCGCCAGAAAGCTTGCCTGTGACAAGATGGCCGCCGGTGATGACGATAGAGACTCCGCCGTAAGACATCTAGCCTTTATTATGGATATCTATGGGCTATCCACCTTATTCCTACGCCTCATTTTGACAGATTATAAATTGTATTTATCTGTGAGAACAAACCTGGAAAGAGACGTGAGGATTTGAGGAGAATAACGAGAGATTCAGTGGATTATTAATGGAATATCGTGAATTAAATTCGGGAGAACAGACCACAGATGTGCCGTATATGTTGTCCTTTTTCATACTTTTACAGCGGATTGCAAAGAAAAAAAAAGAAAATCATCATGAGGAAAAGATACAGCGACTGAAAAGAGCTCTTGCCGTATTCTTGATATAACATCATGTTAAAATACCAAGTATAACGTTATTCTCATGATGTCTGAAAATAAACCATGAAGGGAAATTGACGGATCAGCTTTATTTGTAGGGCAACCTTATGATTGGAAATGATTCGTTTCAGCCTTTTTGAATGGAAGTTCCCCAAACCGGAAGTGCCGCCCATAATTCAAAACGCAGTAAGCTCGTCAGGAATAAGGTGGATATGGTAGAAAATTAGGGTTAGTTAAAATAAACATTTTAATGCTACTTTAATATCGATATGGTTATATATCAAAATAATTATCAGGTCTAGCAAAGAAGGATTATATCTAAATTCAGTGGTAAAATCACAGCTTTTTTTGACTGCAAAAAAGAGTGACTGACCCTTGACCCAGGAAAAACCTGATTGTGATACAGCCTGAATCAAAATCACACAGTGTTCATTTGTTGGCCAGAGAACTAGTCCCCTGACTTTCTCCTCCCTTCAGTCCTTCCAGAAAAACGCAGAGTTTTTTTGTGATTGTTGCGGGCAAAGACCCTTGATTACGCGGCCCGTTTTCTTAAAGGTGCCCTAGAATGTTTTTTTTTTAATTATTTTATAATGTTTCCTGGATTACCCTTATAATGTTAGTATGTTTTTTAGATAAAAATAATCATAATTTAGAAATAAATGGCATTTTTCCTAGCCTGCTTTTAGCCTCTGATTTGAACACTCTGTTTGAAGGGGCGTGTCTGCTGTGGGATTCAGTGTAACCGCGGCCACTGCTGTGATTGGCTGTGGGATTCAGTGTAACCGCGGCCACTGCTGTGATTGGCTGACATGCTTGCATATGAAATAGCTAGTACGCATTACATGTGAAACTCTCTCCCGAATACTTTTACTACTGCTATTATACGTTTTTACTATAACAGCTATCGAGATTAACGAATCGTGAGATGTTTTTAAAGTATTTAGATCTATTCCCATCACATAAAATGTTGCCGTGATGAGCATTGAGCAGATGACAGTGTGTTGATCGCGAGACTGAAGATCTTATCATTGCAAAGCAGTTTCTGCACTCTCTCTGCTTTCACCAATGCAAACACGATGATGTAAATACAGTAAGAGCTTCGTTGTGCAGTAACGTGCGTCATTGATTTCATAACGAGTTTGGCAAGTGTCCAGATAAACTCGCGCTGTGTGGAAAGATTGTTCTTTGATCGCTTTCTGTATATAATTTGTTCACAATTTAAATACGATTATTTTCATCCTACTAAAAGAAACGATGTGAAGCTGATATTTTAGTCACTGGCTTGACTTACTGATGCATAAACAGTATTGAACGATTTTGAGAGAAAGATTACCTGTCTGAACTTGAACAATTACACATCAGAAAGTGTTGCTTGGTAGCTCGATCCGAGGCCAGCTCTGTATTGGCCCAAGTTGAGGAAACAGTCGGTGAAATGTTTGGAAATTTCCAGAGAAAATAAAATTAACCCATTGTTTCTTCAGAGGCTCAGATGAAGGAACTAAAAAATACTTTTGTTTTCATGTGTACATCCACACTGAGCAACTGCCATGCTTCGGCTGCGCAGTTCCGCCTGGCATTGAGGGCTGGCATTATGCAAATATTTGGAGGCGTACATATTAATGATCCCGACTATTGCGTCACAGTCGGTATTGTGTGAAGAACCGACCGTTTTTCAGGGGTGTTTTTCATAAACGTGAATTAAATGAGAACGCGAAAACAGTCCAGTTTGAGATTCACTCTATGTCATGTCCATTCAGTTCAATTCAATTCAATTCAAATTTATTTGTATAGCGCTTTTCACAATACATATTGTTTCAAAGCAGCTTTACAGAAAGTGCATTTCAGAAATGTACATAAAAGAATATAGTTAGTTAATCATCATGTATTAATTTAGGGCATAACATATCGCCGGCGTCGAGTCGTCTTTTCACAGGCGTCGAGTCGTCTTGCACTGAACTCTTGTTATTTGACTATACCAAGGTAAATTCAATTTTGAATTATAGGTCACCTTTAAAAAATGCGAAGGAATATGCGGGATATTTATGCAATTTTATTAGATGAAATTGTGGGAACATGCAAAAACTGCGGTTTGATGAAAAAGAGAAAATTCCCCAACACCCTGTTCTCACTAGGCTCCTACCTTAATGTAAAGAGTCCTTTCTTATGACTTCCTATGATAAGCAAGCGTATACATCACAGAAAGTGCTGGAATATTTCAGTTCTCATCTTGTTTTATTTCAGACTGTAACGAGTGGAAATAAGGCGTGGCCCCTTTAAGAGCTGCGCTCCGTGTTGAACTGTCTGCCGTGTTATATTGTATACGCGCCTCGAACACCACATGTGTGCGGGTAATCTCTGTTTGATGCTACTTCTGTTATCTTCTTTTGTTTATTAAGTAACGATGTGGACGGTAGAACGTGTGACAGACAGTTATATGAGTTCGGTTTGGGAATAAAGTGCGAGTTGTCTCCGTGAGTCTGTCGGGCCTCTGCCATAACTTCAGCTGTGAGCTATCCCTATTTTTCTTCCCGACACAACTGATGAAATGAACTAATTTAATAATTGATGATGTTTCCAATGGAACTGAATCAACACTGAACTGACTTGGACAATGACACTGTTTTCTTTTAGTTCGCAATCATTGTTATCACTGTAAACCTGCTTTGAAACAATCTGTATTGTAAAAAGCGCTATATAAATAAAGGTGACTTTTCATTACTCATCACTCCAGTCTTCAGTGTCACATGATCCTTCAGAAATCAGTATAATATGATGATTTGCTGCTCAAGAAACATTTCTCGGTAACACTATTTAACAGTGTCTGTGACACGTTACATGTACATGCTATAGTAATAACAGTAAATCATGCATAATTACATGCTAAACCAAACCCTACATCAAGTACATGCTGTTAATTAATATCACATGTATAATTAACAAGTATTAATGACCAGTGGTGGAGAGTGACAAAGTACATTTTTCAAGCATCTGTACTATATCAGAATATTGATATTTCAGGAAACTTTTACTTCACTACATTCCAAAGCATAATATCATATTTTTTACTCCACTATATTCCATAAAAAACATGTAGGGCGTCTGAGGGGCATTTACATGACACACACAGAAAACTTTGTGTGTTTTGGCCGTTCATTTACACACCAACTGCGTTTTGGGGCCTGAAAACACAACCTTTTGAACACTGGTTTCAAAGGGGAAGTTTTTGAAAACGACACCATTATTATAATCAAAAATACAAATTCTGTCTATAGGCGCCAAAGTGACATCGCCAACTACTGGCCTGGAGGACTACAGCGGTTTCAGATGTTTTCTGTGTGAACGGGGATCGTTTTGACAACGTTATCGTCTGTATGCGAAAAACGTTTCCGTTTTAGTACATTGGTTCATAAATCGCATTGACAGTATTTTTATACTATTTTATACTATACTAAGCCATTATAGCCACATATTTACACACATTTTGCTTTTCCTCATTTTTTAAATTATTATATAGTATATTATTTCACTTGTTTGCACACTTGTACTATAGGTAAGTTATTTTAGTATACTATAAGTTTATTGTTTTTAGTGTGTGGTGTATGGTATAAAAAAAAAAAAAAAAAAAAGTTAGCTAATTTTCTAATCAATACATAGTATATAGTTATAGATAGTTTGCAGTAATCTCTCTTATTAGTTCTGACTGAGTCTGACTAGTGCTGGCTAAATAATACAAATCAAGTACTTTCACCGTAGAGAAATTGAAAATGAGTACTATTTAAGTAATATTTTAATAGGGTATCAGTGCTTTTACTTAGTCCACCACTGAAAGGACACCTTACAATAAAGTGTAACCCCTTTCTGATTATTATCAGTTTAAAACAGTTGTGCTGCTTCATATTATTGTGGAGCATTTAATTGGAAATATAAGTCGTTAGTTGCATCTCAAATCTCTTTACTGTCACTTTCGATCAATTTAATGAGTCCTTGATGAATAAACAGTATTAATTTCTTTCAAAAAAATAAACATTTCAGGATACAAAATTAAAATTTGTGAGATATAGTCACAATAACAATGACCTTGTTACTCTAAGTAAAAAAATGAGTTTTGAACCCATTTCTTAACTATAAAATAGTGGAAAAGGGTTTCTAAAACGTGATTTTTTGAACAGTTGAAAAACCCTAAAGCTCTATCTGATTTGCTAATATTAAAATCTTTCTCAAAGATATTAAAATGAGCAATATGCATAAAACAAGCATAAGCAATAATTCCAGTTGAAATCTTATATCCAACAAGAATATAGTAAAATAAAAAAATGCTACATCTAGTAAAAACACTACAAATAAAAATGAGTATTTGGTGTTATATTACAAGAGTATGTTGTTAAATTCGTATAAACACCAATATTTCGATATGGTGTGTGAGCAACACCTCGTGCACTGCATGACATGATGATAAGCTGACCTGTGAGGAACCCTCCTGTCCGAGTCCCCGCCGCCGGATGAGGAAGAGGAGGACGGCTGCTGAAGAGCAGAGAAGCGATTCAAAGTGCTGGGGCGACCAGAGTCCTGAGCTGTAGACGACAGATGACAGTTACATTACGGCTGGAAACTAGCGCTGCACGATTAACCGCAATTTACATGTAATCGCACTTAAATCGAGTCGGGTTAACGCAAAGGCTGTGATTGTATTTTATGTGCAGCTTGTCAGTGAAGCACGGCTCTGTAAACGCGGCTCCGTCTGAAAGCACTGCGAGTTTGAGTCACTTATAACGTGCGTTTGAAAAAGCAACACGTACGCGGCAAACATCTTTCCAAACATGAGAAGCATTTATGAAGCTCTTGTCCAACGAAAGACATTTAATAACATGCTTTTACTCCAAACTCACTTCATAAGCACAGCTGAGCTCATCCTTCTGTGAGATGATGCGCTTCTCACACTGAATAAGGCAGTCGTGTGTTTATTAGTTATGTTTAATCAAAGCGTTTCACTCTGATTATTCAGAAACAGCGATGGGGTTTCCTGGAATGATGTGTGTTATCGTACTTCTGCGGCGGGTCATATTTGACGTGTGTGTGTGTGAGAAAACGCCCTCTGGTGTTCAGAGAGATATGTGGTGTGTGTGTGTCAAACGCTCTCTGGTGTTCAGAGAGATATGTGGTGTGTGTGTGTGAGACGCCCTCTGGTGTGCAGAGAGATATGTGGTGTGTGTGTGTATCCCTCTGGTGTTCAGAGAGATATGTGGTGTGTGTGTGAGAGACGCCCTCTGGTGTTCAGAGAGATATGTGGTGTGTGTGTGTGAGACGCCCTCTGGTGTTCAGAGAGATATGTGGTGTGTGTGTGAGAGACTCCCTCTGGTGTTCAGATGGATATGTGGTGTGTGTGTGTCAGACGCCCTCTGGTGTTCAGATGGATATGTGGTGTGTGTGTGTCAGACGCCCTCTGGTGTTCAGATGGATATGTGGTGTGTGTGTGTGTGTCAGACGCCCTCTGGTGTTCAGATGGATATGTGGTGTGTGTGTGTGTGTCAGACGCCCTCTGGTGTTCAGATGGATATGTGGTGTGTGTGTGTGTGTCAGACGCCCTCTGGTGTTCAGATGGATATGTGGTGTGTGTGTGTGTGTCAGACGCCCTCTGGTGTTCAGATGGATATGTGGTGTGTGTGTGTGTGTCAGACGCCCTCTGGTGTTCAGATGGATATGTGGTGTGTGTGTGTGTGTGTGTGTGTGTCAGACGCCCTCTGGTGTTCAGATGGATATGTGGTGTGTGTGAGTGTGAGAAAACGCCCTCTGGTGTTCAGATGGATATGTGGTGTGTGTGTGTGTGTGTGTCAGACGCCCTCTGGTGTTCAGATGGATATGTGGTGTGTGTGTGTCAGACGCCCTCTGGTGTTCAGATGGATATGTGGTGTGTGTGAGTGTGAGAAAACGCCCTCTGGTGTTCAGATGGATATGTGGTGTGTGTGTGTGTGTCAGACGCCCTCTGGTGTTCAGATGGATATGTGGTGTGTGTGTGTGTGTCAGACGCCCTCTGGTGTTCAGATGGATATGTGGTGTGTGTGTGTGTGTCAGACGCCCTCTGGTGTTCAGATGGATATGTGGTGTGTGTGTGTGTGTGTGTGTGTGTCAGACGCCCTCTGGTGTTCAGATGGATATGTGGTGTGTGTGAGTGTGAGAAAACGCCCTCTGGTGTTCAGATGGATATGTGGTGTGTGTGTGTGTGTGTCAGACGCCCTCTGGTGTTCAGATGGATATGTGGTGTGTGTGAGTGTGAGAAAACGCCCTCTGGTGTTCAGATGGATATGTGATGTGTGTGTGTCAGACGCCCTCTGGTGTTCAGATGGATATGTGGTGTGTGTGAGTGTGAGAAAACGCCCTCTGGTGTTCAGAGAGATATGTGGTGTGTGTGAGTGTGAGAAAACGCCCTCTGGTGTTCAGAGAGATATGTGGTGTGTGTCAGACGCCCTCTGGTGTTCAGAGAGATATGTGGTGTGTGTGTGTGAGACGCCCTCTGGTGTTCAGATGGATATGTGGTGTGTGTGTGTGAGACGCCCTCTGGTGTTCAGATGGATATGTGGTGTGTGTGTGTGTGTGTGTGTGAGACGCCCTCTGGTGTTCAGATGGATATGTGGTGTGTGTGAGTGTGAGAAAACACCCTCTGGTGCTCAGATGGATATGTGGTGTGTGTGTGTGTCAAACGCCCTCTGGTGTTCAGAGAGATATGCGGTGTGCGTGTGTGTCAGACGCCCTCTGGTGTTCAGATGGATGTGTGTGTGTGTGTGTGTGTGTGTGTGTGTGTGTGTGAAAACACCCTCTGGTGTTCAGATGGATATGTGGTGTGTGTGTGTGTGTGTGTGTGTGTGACGCCCTCTGGTGTTCAGATGGATATGTGGTGTGTGTGTGAGACGCCCTCTGGTGTTCAGAGAAATATGTGGTGTGGTGTGTGTGTTTGTGTGACACGCCCTCTGGTGTTCAGATGGAGCATTTACTACCGATCAGCCTCTGCTCTGACAAACTGCACAAAAAATAATAACAGCCTTTAAAAAAAATCGTGTGCAGTTTTATTGCGATTAATTGTGCAGCCCGACTGGAAACGTGTGTGTAATAAAGTCCTGTGCATTGCAACACACTGACCGCCTTCGCTGGGCTTGGCTCCAGTGCCTCCGCTGCTGCCTTTGCCCCAACTACCCCACGTGCCTTTACCTCCGGGGGCCAGAAGCTGATTATTGAAGTCCAGAGCGCCCGGCTACAACACACACACACACACACACATTACTGTTCAATGCTCATATTGAGTGTTCGTGAGGGAACTGCAAGGGCTTCGTGAGTTGATGAAAAGCTAATAATTAAAAATCACAAACATGTAAAGTTCTAATATTTAAAATACTTAATTTCTTTTATAAAAAAAATAAAAAAAATACAACACTTAAGATACAAATATGAGATTAAAATCTAAAATATATTAAAATATATAAAAAATATATTTTATTTGTTTACCTACATGTCATGTGACCATCAGAGAACCATGAACATGCAAATGTGTATTTAAATAAATATTTTAAACAATACCTTTGAGTTAATGTTTTTAATATTATATAAATTATTTAAAGTTGTAGTTTAAACATTTACAATCTAGAAGTTGAAATAAATTATTTGATTACCTCACTCACCAATTATATATTTTGTATAATATTTAAATGAAATAATGTAATTATATTAATAATATAATACAGGGTTATTATCGTTAACAAAAACTGAAACTATTAACACTTGAAAAACTTAAACTGGCAATAAATAAAAAATGTATCTAATAAATAACGAAAAAAAAAAATAAAAAAAAAAAAATATATATATATATATATATATATATAAAATATATATATATATATATAAAAAATATATATATATATATATAAATGACCAAAGCACATAAGATAACTAAGAATTATACTAAAATTAAAATGTAAACTGAAAGTATCAGACCTTGACTGACTGACTTAATAATAATAATAATAACAACAATATGTAAGAGTTTGACTATTTATTGATTATAGATCAGACTGTTGTCTTAATAATAATAATAATAATAATCAGACAACCAAGTCTGATCCATAATCAATAAATAATCAAACTCAGATTACTTAATAATAATAAGTATCAGAGTTTGATTATTTATTGATTACGGATCAGACTTGGTTGTCTGATTATTATTATTATTTTTTTTTATTATTATTAAGACAACAGTCTGATCTATAATCAATAAATAGTCAAACTCTTACATATTGTTGTTGGTTGTCTTAATAATAATAATAATAATAAGACAACCAAGTCTGATCTGTAATCAATAAATAATCAAACTCAGATTACTCAATAATAATAAGTAATCGGAGTTTGATTATTTATTGATTATGGATCAGACCTGGATGGCTTCATAATAATATTATTAATAATGATAATAATAAGTGATCAGACCTTGGTGATCTTGCTGAGTCGGGTGGGGTCGATGGGTCTGTTCTTGGTGGAGATGGGCACCGTGTTCCAGCCGTCATCAGGTGCCTGGTTGCCACGGGAACCAGGTGTGTGTGACCCACCGCGAGACCCCATCCCCCCTCCTCCTCCTCCTCCTCCTCCTCCTCCTCCTCCTCCTCTTCCTTCTCCTCCTCCTCTTCCCTCCTTCTTCGACATGAGCTGCTGCTGAACTTTGGCCTGCTCTCGGTGCTCCTCAAGCTCCGCCTCCTTGTGGATCTGCTCGATGGTCTTCGGGCCCAGATCTCCTCTGCGCGGGACCCAGTTATTCTGACACACAAACAAATCAAATCAAAATGGACAATTCTTATTTTTTATGGAATATCACAGTATTTATTTGAAACGATTTTTCAGTTCACAAACATTATGGTGTTAAATTCATGTTTCTGGTGATCTTGAATCAGAATAACTTCTCTGATGACGGGGGCGGAGCAACAACCTGTCACTCACATGAGATCCACCAATAGCAAACCACAACCATCCAATCAATTCCCCACAGACAAACTCAAGCCCCGCCCACATTTGTTCTTGTTCCAGAAGTGTTTCACTCAGATATACAGCACTATAGAGAAGAAAAGACGAGCGAGACTTCCCTTTCATGCCGACTTTAAACACATTCCGGGTTATTTTCAACGTAACGCGCAGCAACATGATTTCAATGATCACTAATTGTAGTCGTCAATCAGTTTGTAAAAACAACAGCAAAACAGAAGGCATTTAAAAGTGATAATGAAAGTCTGAGGGAGGTCCTGCAAAGGGTTAAATGAAGAACTGTAAAGTTTGCATTGCTACTGAAGCACTTATGAAACTACATGAAATCTCCAGAATAGATGTGAGTGTAAATCCACCTTTTCAAGGTTTGAGAGGAAAAAATGGTGGTAATGGACAACAACACCACACTGAAAATACTCCGTTCACTTGGGTTTCCACTTTAATTCC